GGCCACATGCCCCATGCGCCGATGCAAGGTGAGCCAATCACACTCCCCCGTAGCCGAAGTTGGATTGGAGAATGCCGCGCTCGCAATAGCGCCCCACATACTCTCTCCGTAGTCCTCCTCCGCTGCTGCCTCTGGGTTCTCCTCACCCTTTTGCTGCTCCTTGGTTGCTGCACCACTCTCCTTAGGTTCACTGAACTTGCTGGTCCCTCCAGGTTTGCTCTTCTTGAGCTCATTCTCCTTAGCGCGACCGTTCGCGCCATCGTCGCTACCGACCGCTCCATCCTTGGTGCTGATGCTTGCTGCCACTTGCCTCTCCTTAGGCATAGGGACCACTGGGATCTGCCACATCTCGTTGTAGACATCCCTGTCCTCATGAAGGTCCCAAAGAATTCGATCGCCAAGCCTTGCGGTGTAGGTCTTGGCTCCCTTCGAGTTCGTGTCCATGCCGGCCTTTGCCAACCGCCGCACGGAAATCAGGTTTGCAGCAAGGCTGGGCACCCAAAGCACGTTCTTGAGGCCCACCATCTTCCCATCAGCACCCTTGAACATGGCCTTGCCCATGCCTTTCACCTCTGCTCGCTGCCCCAAAGCCGATGTGACATGCTTCACCGGTGACGGCTCGAGTTCGGTGAGCAAGTCCGGGCGAGGTGTCATGCTATAGGTAGCGCCACTATCAATCACCCAATAGTCCAGGGGGTGTAGGGTCACCTTCCCCACAGCTGCTGGCTCCTCAAAGCCTTCATCCTTCTCTGGACCAGCCGGTACTTGCGTCGACACGAAGTAGAATAGACCCGGGTATCGATCGTCGCTCGGGTCCTTGTCGTTGTCTCCGCTCTTCATGTTTGCAGCTCCGCCACCGCGACCGCCACGGCCTCCACGACCTCGTCCTCTCCCTCCTCCTGCTCCTCTACCCTCTTGGCCTTGAGCAGGGGTCCAACCATCAGGGAGTTTGTAACAGTCGCGCCACATGTGTCCGCTCTTGTGGCAATAGTGAGTAAGTAACATGGATTCTTGCACGGTAGGGTTCACCTGCACCTGCATACAAGGAAGGATGACAGGAAGGGAGGAACGGAGTAAGGGAGGACGAGAGGAAATGAGGTTGAGAGAAAAAGAGGGTGAGAGGAGGGGAGGATGAGAGGAAGGGAGGATGAGAGAAAGGGAGGATAAGAGAAAGGGCGGATGATAGGAAGGGAGGATGAGAGGAAGAGAGGACGTGAGGAAGGGACACAGGGAGGAAGGGTGGACAAGAGGAAGGGAGGATGAGAGGAAGGGAGGACGAGAGGAAGGGAGAATGAGAAGAAGGAAGGATGAGACAAAGGGAGGATGAGAGGAAGGGAGGATGAGCGGAAGGGGGGATGAGAGGAAGGGAGGATGAGAGAAAGGGTGGCAGAGAGGAAGGGGGGATGAGAGGTAGGGAGGATGAGATGAAGGGAGGATGAGAGGAAGGGAGAATGAGAGGAAGGAAGGATGAGACGAAGGGAGGATGAAAGGATGAGACGAAGGGAGGATGAAAGGAAAGGAGGACGAGCGGAAGGGAGAATGAGAGGAAGGGGGGATGAGAGGTAGGGAGGATGAGAGGGAGGGTGAATGAGAGGATGGAAGGAGGAGACGAAGGCGGGATGAGAGGAAGGGAGGATGAGATGAAGGGGGGATGAGAGGAAGGGAGGATGAGAGGAAGGGAGGATGAGAGAAAGGGAGAATGAGAGGAAGGGAGGATGAGAAGAAGGGCGGATGAGAGGAAGGGAGGATGAGAAGAAGGGCGGATGAGAGGAAGGGGGGACGCGAGAAAGGGAGAATGAGAGGAAAGGGGATGGTAGGGAGGATGAGAGGAAGGAAGGATGAGACAAAGGGAGGATGAGAGGAAGGGAGGATGAGCGGAAGGGGGGATGAGAGGAAGGGAGGATGAGAGAAAGGGCGGATGAGAGGAAGGGAGGATAAGAGGAAGGGAGGACGAGAGGAAGGGGGATGAGAGAAAGGGAGAATGAGAGGAAGGGCGTATGATAGGAAGGGGAGGATGAGAGGAAGGGATGATAAGAGAAAGGGCGGATGATAGGAAGGGAGGATGACAGGAAGGGACACAGGGATGAAGGGTGGACAAGAGGAAGGGAGGGTGAGAGGAAGGGAGGACGAGAGGAAGGGAGAATGAGAGGAAGGAAGGATGAGACAAAGGGAGGATGAGAGGAAGGGAGGATGAGAGAAAGGGTGGATGAGAGGAAGGGGGGATGAGAGGTAGGGAGGATGAGATGAAGGGAGGATGAGAGGAAGGGAGAATGAGAGGAAGGAAGGATGAGACGAAGGGAGGATGAGAGGAAAGGAGGACGAGAGGAAGGGAGAATGAGAGGAAGGGGGGATGAGAGGTAGGGAGGATGAGAGGGAGGGTGAATGAGAGGATGGAAGGAGGAGACGAAGGGGGGATGAGAGGAAGGGAGGATGAGATGAAGGGGGGATGAGAGGAAGGGAGGATGAGAGGAAGGGAGGATGAGAGAAAGAGAGAATGAGAGGAAGGGAGGATGAGAGGAAGGGCGGATGAGAGGAAGGGGGGACGCGAGAAAGGGCGAATGAGAGGAAGGGGGGATGGTAGGGAGGATGAGATGAAGGAAGGATGAGACAAAGGGAGGTTCTCAGGAAGGGAGGATGAGCGGAAGGGGGGATGAGAGGAAGGGAGGATGAGAGAAAGGGCGGATGAGAGGAAGGGGGGATGAGAGCTAGGGAGGATGAGAGAAAGGGCGGATGAGAGGAAGGGGGGATGAGAGCTAGGGAGGATGAGATGAAGGGGGGATGGTAGGGAGGATGAGAGGAAGGAAGGATGAGACAAAGGGAGGTTCTCAGGAAGGGAGGATGAGCGGAAGGGGGGATGAGAGGAAGGGAGGATGAGAGAAAGGGCGGATGAGAGGAAGGGGGGATGAGAGCTAGGGAGGATGAGAGAAAGGGCGGATGAGAGGAAGGGGGGATGAGAGCTAGGGAGGATGAGATGAAGGGGGGATGGTAGGGAGGATGAGAGGAAGGGAGAATGAGAGGAAGGAAGGATGAGACGAAGGGAGGATGAGAGGAAAGGAGGACGAGAGGAAGGGAGAATGAGAGGAACGGGGGATGAGAGGTAGGTAGGGAGGATGAGAGGGAGGGTGAATGAGAGGATGGAAGGAGGAGACGAAGGGGGGATGAGAAGAAGGGAGGATGAGATGAAGGGGGGATGAGAGGAAGGGAGGATGCGAGGAAGGGAGGATGAGAGGAAGGGCGGATGAGAGGAAGGGGGGACGCGAGAAAGGGAGAATGAGAGGAAGGGGGGATGGTAGGGAGGATGAGAGGAAGGAAGGATGAGACAAAGGGAGGATGAGAGGAAGGGAGGATGAGCGGAAGGGGGGATGAGAGGGAGGATGAGAGAAAGGGCGGATGAGAGGAAGGGGGGATGAGAGCTAGGGAGGATGAGATGAAGGGAGGATGAGAGAAAGGGAGAATAAGAGGAAGGGAGGATGAGAGGAAGGGGGGACGAGAGGCAGGGAGGACGAGAGGAAGGGAGAATGAGAGGAAGGGAGAATGAGCGGAAGGGGGGATGGTAGGGAGGATGAGAGGAAGGGAGAATGAGAGGATGGAAGGATGAGACGAAGGGAGGATGAGAAGAAAGGAGGACGAGAGGAACAGAGAATGAGAGGAAGGGGGGATGAGAGGTAGGTAGGGAGGATGAGAGGGAGGGTGAATGAGAGGATGGAAGGAGGAGACGAAGGGGGGATGAGAGGAAGGGAGGATGAGATGAAGGGGGGATGAGAGGAAGGGGGGATGAGAGGAAGGGAGGATGAGAGAATGGGAGAATGAGAGGAACAGAGAATGAGAGGAAGGGGGGATGAGAGGTAGGTAGGGAGGATGAGAGGGAGGGTGAATGAGAGGATGGAAGGAGGAGACGAAGGGGGGATGAGAGGAAGGGAGGATGAGATGAAGGGGGGATGAGAGGAAGGGGGGATGAGAGGAAGGGAGGATGAGAGAATGGGAGAATGAGAGGAAGGGAGGATGAGAGAAAGGGGGGATGAGAGGAAGGGGGGACGCGAGAAAGGGAGAATGAGAGGAAGGGGGGATGGTAGGGAGGATGAGAGGAAGGAAGGATGAGACAAAGGGAGGATGAGAGGAAGGGAGGATGAGCGGAAGGGGGGATGAGAGGAAGGGAGGATGAGAGAAAGGGCGGACGAGAGGAAGGGGGGATGAGAGCTGTGGAGGATGAGATGAAGGGAGGATGAGAGAAATGGAGACTAAGAGGAAGGGAGGATGAGAGGAAGGGGGGACGAGAGGCAGGGAGGACGAGAGGAGGGGAGAATGAGAGGAAGGGGGGATGAGAGGTAGGGAGAATGAGAGGAAGGAGGATGAGAGGAAGGGCTTATGAGCGGTAGGGAGGATGAGAGGAAGGGAGGATGAGAGAAAGGGAGGATGTGAGGAAGGGAGGACGAGAGGAAGGGAGGGCGAGAGGAAGGGAGGATGAGAGTAAGGGTGGATGAGAGGAAGGGAGGACGAGAAGAAGGGAGGATGAGTGGAAGGGAGGATGAGCGGTAGGGAGGATGAGAGGAAGGGAGATGTGAGGAAGGGAGGATGTGCGGAATGGTGGATGAGAGGATGGGACGGGGACTAGGAGGATCCCTGCACCCTCTCTCCCTACCCCCCAACCTCCCCTGACCCGCCTCCCCCGCTCCCTTGTCCCGCCCCCTGCAGCACCGCGGTGCTAGCTGCCGGCCTCACGCGCTGCCCTGGCTACCCGCCCAGCACATTGCTCCAAAGCTGCAGCAGCACCTGCCATGCGAGCAAGGTTGCTTCTGACCACGCACCCTCCCACATCCCACAGAGAACGAGCCACGACCCCATCCCCAGCGTTCAAGCCCAGCCCCCTATACCTCCACGCTCGGGTGAGCCGCTGGGGGGAGAGAGAATGAGACCGAAGGAAAGAGGGGTGCAAGGGTGGGGTGGACACCATGGGCGAAGTGGGGAGTAGAGAAGGTGGCAATGGGGAGGGCGGGAGCGAACTAATGAGGCAATGGAGAAGGGACGCAACGACGACCATAAATGCGATTGGAAGGGATGAGAGAGAGGGCGGATGGCGTGGGTGGAGAGGCGATGGTGATGACGGCGTGGAGAGAGGTGACAGCCAAGGGAGGTCGGCGAGAAGGGAAAGCGCGGGCGACATGGAGGGCGATGGGGGGGGGGAAGCGCGGGCGACGGTGGGGGCACGCGTCATGATCGTGGTGCATGGGGAGCGCCGCAAAGCGTGCTGTTGCCATCTCCTGCTGCTCCGCATCGCAGAACATGCCCCACGTGTCCGCCTTGGAGCTATGCGGTGGGAGGAGGGAGCGGAGAGCGCAGCTCCGACCCGAGTGCTGCTTCAAGTCAGGACTGAATTGAAGTCGTGCGCGCTGGCGCCGGGGAGGAAGTCGTGCGCGCTGGCGACGGGGACGAAAGCGTGCGCGCCGGCGACGGGGACGAAAGCGTGAACCCTGGCGACGGGGAGGAAAGCGTGCGCGTTGGCAACGGGGAGGAAAGCGTGCGCGCTGGCGACGGGGAGGAAAGCATGAGCGACGGTGACGGGTTTCCAAGCGTGCGCGACGGTGACCAGCCGGACGGATGATAGGCGAGCCATTGACATGATATTGGTCCGCTCGGTCGCGTGGAAGGGAGGGCTGCGGAAGCGAGATGCGTTCCCGTACCGAGTCTCCCTAAACTGGATATGAGAGCGGCGGAATGAGGTCTCGACGGCGTGGATAACGTGAAGTCCGCCACTAGCGGCGGGTGACGCCCGCGACGAGGGAGGTCTACGCGATCTTCGACTAGGCATTTCGCGCGTGTGCGCGGGGATCCGTCGTTGGCTTCCGCCGAGAGCGCGTAAGTTCGCCCTTCCCACTAATCGAAACTAATGATTCGCATTTTGTGAAGTCGGACAAACCTGAATTACCATTTTGCAAACTGTGCACAGGCCGAGCCCTTCACCCAAGGGGGGATCAAAGTGGTTGGGACTCTCGCCAACCCAACCTGCACTGCTCTAGGACTCTGGTTTTTTGGGTGTGACGGTAACCAGGCTGGCTCGGGAGGTCAACTTTGGGCTCGGTAGGCAAACTGTGCACAGTTTGCGTTTTTTTTTCTTGTAATTCAGGTCTTGGGCTTTAAGCCATATTCAGCCAGGCGCTCACCTGCTCATCCTAGGAGACCTAAACACCATCGAAAACCCACTGCTTGATAAGACCTTTAGACATGGATCAACAAGAGAGAATGACTTTCTCTATCATCACTGCAAAGATTTCGCCATCTCAGATGCTTTCCGTTTCCTTCACCCGAGTGAACGAGAATTTACCTTTTACTCACAAGCACACCAGGAGAGCTCACGGATTGATCGAGCCCTGGTCTCTCAATCCCTGCTCCCACGCCTAGTGTCGGCTGCGCACATCTCACCGGATGAGCCGGTCTCAGATCATGGTTTTGCCATCCGAGTAATCTTCAAACTCAAGACGCAGCTGAAGCTGGGGCCAGGGGTTTGGCGTCTTCACCCTTCTCTGTTAGGGAGACCAGGGGCTAAGAGGAAAATCGAGGAGGTGGAGCGGTTGGTCACGCAGAATGGAGGGGGTTTTACGTCTCTCATCTCTCGCCTGAGCACCAGTCTGCGGTTATATGCAAAAGAGGAAAGTAAGAGGATAAGGGCGACCATTAACCATCTTACTACAGCGGTGGCTGCACTGCGTCAAGAGGTCATGCAGAACCCGAAGGATCAATTTCTGAAAGAACGGCTGAGGAAACGGGAGCAACAACTTAAAGAGTATTTCGCATGCCGGCGAGATAGGATGCATACAATGGCTGGGATGGAGCTGGCGCTGTCAGGGGAAGTTCCCTCACCGCATCTGTCGGCACGCATAAAGACACGAAAGGTCAGAACGCAGATAGCGAAGGTAGCGGTACCAGGAGGGGTGGTGTCGGAACCAAAGCGAATCCTGGAAGCAGCGGCGGATTACTTCCGTAGCCTCTTTGGGGAAGATAAACGGACGGTGTCTTCAAACTGGAGTCCAGCGGCTGGGAAGAAGCTGTTGTATTCTGATGTGGAGGGTCTACAGGCAGATTGGACGGAGATAGAAGTTAGGCTAGCGCTGAATAAAATGGAGAGTAATAAGACGCCGGGGAAAGATGGCTTACCGAAGGAGGTGTTTGAGATGCACTGGGACACGCTAGGGAAACACGTCATGGGGTTGGTTCAAGGCTTCGCCCTCACCTCTACACTCCCGACCAGCGTGAAGGATGCAGTGACGATTCTCCTGCACAAGAAAGGAGCGAAAGAACAGTTGGATAACTATCGCCCTATCACACTTTTGAACATCAGCTACAAGGTGCTGGCACGAGTCTTGGCGAGCAGAATTAAAAAAGTTCTCCACAGTGTGATCTCGCCAGAGCAGTTCGGTTTTATTCCGGGGCGACGAATGTCAGACGCGGTGGGGCTGGTCGCTGATATCATCGATGCAGCCAAGAACGGGAGAGAAGACTGGTTCATGCTGCTGGTTGATTTTAAAAAGGCGTTTGACTCGATGTCCCGCGACTTCATTTTCGACGTGATGGGGAAAATGGGTTTCCCGGCTCGGTTCATGGTTGGGTGAGGGGCCTGCACACAAACACGCGGACGAACTTGTTAATCAACGGTTGGTTGGGAGATGCGGTGGAGGTGGTCTCAGGAGTGAGGCAGGGCTGCCCCTTAGCACCCTACCTCTTCCTCTGTGCGGTGGAACCTCTGGCGCAGAAGGTGATGAAGCGGAAGATAGGGATCTCTCTCACCAGCTGCGTTGGTCAGAGGCTGGGCTACATTGGCTATGCGAATGACACGACTCTCTTGCTGCAGGGGAAACAACAAATTGGGAAGGCGGAGGAGGTGTTGGAGGAGTTTAAAAACATTTCCGGATTAGAGACAAACAAGGGGAAGTCAGTGGTGATGCCTTTGGGAGCTAACCTGGGGAAGACGACCTGGCGTACTGACGGGTTTCGTTGGGCTGACGCTAGCGAAGCGGAGAGACTCCTCGGCGTGTGGGTCACGCCGAACGGAAGCTGTCAGCCGACGTGGGACAAGGCGCTGCAAAAAATTGCTGGGAAGATGTCGCTGTGGCAGCCGCAATTCCTCCCAATCAAGGCCAGGACAGCAGTGATGGACGGGTACATAATGCCGATTGCGTGGTCCCAAGCTCAGGTCTATCCGCCACCTGCGCAAACCTGGAAAGAGATCACGAAGATGACGCAAAACTTCATGTCAGCGAACAAAGTTTCATCCGAGAAATGCTTCAACCTCTGGAGCAAGGAGCTCCTATTCACACCGGTACTGGAAGGTGGAGTGGGGGCGAAGAATCCAGAAGCGATGCTTACCTGCTTGACGGCCAGGAGGATCGGGCTGATACTCACGGAGACGGATCAGTTAAAGCGAGAACTGATGCGTTAGGCAGTCGACCTGCCAAGGGGACTGGAGACGTTCATGGCACATGAGAAGCTGTTGAAGACATGGGAGGGGAAAAGCCAGCGTTGGAAGCTGGCATGCGCAAATTTCATGCGGTCCCCGCTAGCGGTAACCACGGAGGAACTCGAGGTTAAGGAGCTGCTGCTGGAGAGGATCACGTTTAACATACATATCCTCCCGAAAGGAACCACGCTAGTGGGAGGACAGAAAGCGGCAAAAGGGCTTCTGGATGTCAGGCTGGGAGATCTTGTCGGGAGAGATGCAGAAGGGAAAGGGGTGCTGAAAAGCCTTGAAACCCTAGAGAGAGAGCTGCGGGGGAAGGACTCAGCGAACCTTGCGCTCAAGGCTTTTGCGGCTGCGCCAGAATCATGGAAGAAGCGGCTCATCTCGGCTGATCTTCCGAACATGAGCTTTGCGAACGAGTTTGAGGTGGGAAGAGGCGGCCCCTTACAGCTCCGGACGAAGTTGTTGGCGGAAGGGAAGGCAGTCCCGCTGAGGTCTCTCCGGAAACACTGGAAGCATGGCAACGGCGGAAAGAATGGGCGAGTCGGTGGGGGGGCAACATTGATTGGGAAAGGGCGGTTCAGATTCGTGAATCACTTGTTACCCCAAGTCGACCGAGGGATGTTCTACTGCGTATACACTGCCTCAATCTGCAAGTGGGGGAGAGACTAGAATTTCTCAGCAGCAAACCAGTCTGCCCGCACTGCGGGGGGTTTGAGACACTGGAGCACTGTCTCTTGGAGTGCCCGAAAATTCAGGGGGTGGTTTCGGCGGTTAAAAAAGCCTTAAGGATGATCAACCCGGGCAGGAAAAGTGACACACTTGGCGAGTGGCTGTTTGGCAAGGCGGGGTCCCAGTCAGCATTTCCTGAGCCTCGCTGGTTGCGATTGCCCTTCACCAGCTATGGGCGGAAAGATGTGAAGGGGCCTTCAGGGGCTGCAAATTCCGCACGCGGAGAGTTCTGCTGAGGATTGAGTCAGCCCTTCGCATGCATGTTAACGTTTACGTGCGGGCCTCGGCAGTAAGGCTGCAGCAGCGTGGGAAAGTTCAGCAGGTCAGGTGGCAAAAAATGACGGAGCAAGAACGTGACCTTCTGAATCGCATCAGAGTAATGGATGGCAAAGGTTGGAAGTGGTCCAACAGTTTCGCGGCAATTTGGGGCAAACCTCGCAGGCCCCGGATCCATGTCTGAGGATCGAATTCTTTGAGGCGGGACTTCCTGTCTCTCATATACAGTTACGATTATTTATTCGTTGTACACTTATGTTCTGGTGTATAATTCATATAAGAAAAAAAAAAACAAGAGGCGACGAAATCGTCTTAAGGGTGAATATTCTGATTGTTAAGAACATTCTTTATGGCAAGTTATGCTTGTTCTGGTCAAATTATTTGGTTTTAGGGTGACTGGAAACCTGAAACAACAAAATTTCAGAACGGAACAAGAATATTCCTCACCGACTCAATGTTCACGACTAAGTTTGAACCCCCAAGCTTCGGGTTAAAACGCTGCTTCCACAGCGCTGTGCTAAACACGCCGACTGTGTTTCGGCTTAAAGTTTATTGGAGATCATTTGCGACGAAAACGTCCCATCCTAGGGTTTCGTCAAATGTCTTTTTCCTCCGTTTCTCTTCCACCTAGTCAGATTACTCTAGCTTCTCCCGTCCATCACGCCACTCACGCCACTCACACCACTCAGACTATAGCTCCTAGTTAAGGTAAGCCTCATTCTCTCTATTCTTAAGCTCATTCTAGTTGAGAGTGGGTTCTAGTTTAGCTCACTATGGTTGAGAGTTGTTTTTTTGACGAGATCTAGATTGTTTCTTAACCTCGCTTTCTTCCTAGGTTATGCCCCGTACTTTTGATCTCTCCTTCCCTCTCCTTCTCTCCACTTCTTCCCATCTTCTTCTCTCTTTTATTTCGATTTACATTCTACTTGCTTGCTCTTTTCAGCTCCTGCTCTTACTTTCGTCTTCTTCCGTACGCTGTTTCTTGATTTTTTCCTCTTCCTTAATTGAATTTTGAAATGATATTAACAACTATGTTCAGAGAGTTAAATTACTAGGTAGGAGCATTTTCTTTCTCGTTCACTCTCTCTCGTTCTCTCGTTCTCTCTCTCTCTCTCTCTCTCTCTCTCTCTCTCTCTCTCTCTCTCTCTCTCTCTCTCTCTCTCTCTCTCTCTCTCGTTCTCTCTTTCTCTCGTTCTCTCGTTCTCCCTCGTTCTCTCGTTCTCTCTCTCTCGTTATCTCTCTCGTTCTCTCGCTCTCGCTCTCGTTCGTTCTCTCTCGTTCTCTCTCGCTCGTTCTCTCTCTCTCTCGTTCTCTCCCTCTCGTTCTCTCTCGTTCTCTCTCAATCGTTCTCTCTCTCTCGTTCTCTCTCTCGTTCTCTCTCGATTTCTCTCTCTCGTTCTCCGTCTCTCGTCCTCTCTCTCTCGTTCTCTCTCTCGTTCTCTCTCTCGTTCTCTCTCTCGTTCTCTCTCTCTCGTTCTGAGGTGAGCTTAGGTCTTCTAGGCTAGTATTGTTGTTTACGTTCTAAGATTAAGAGAGTAAGGTATCTCGATTTAGAAAGAAGTACCTCGTGATTGGTGCTTACGTTTTTTGTACGGTATATTTCGTAATTGGTAGAACATGGAAACACGATTTTCTCTTTCTTGTCCAACTCTTTCGCTCGGCGGTTTCTCTCTCGTGGTCTCTCATTTTCAACCGCCTCTCTCTCTTTCTCCCTCTTTCTCTCATACTACCACATTCTGGCTAGCTTACGATAATTGAATATGAGCTTCATTGGAGAGCCTCTCGTTTTCTTCCTCGTTTTTGTTATTGCTTCCGTTTGTTTGTGCACCTTCCCTCGTGTTCCCCCTCCCCTTCACCAGCATCACTTCCAACCCCACCCTTCTTCTGTCAGCTCGCTCTCAAGTTAGTGGAGAAAAACTTTTAGCATTTTGAATATGAGGTATCTTCTTCCTCTCTGCATTTCCATTCCTCTCCCCTTCTTTCGATGATCATTCTTCTTTCCTTTGTTCTGTACTTTTCCATTCTTACCTACGTGTAGCTCTTTGGACTTTTCTTCCTACTTTTTTTTTTCTTTCTTCTTTTCCGTTTACTCCTATTCCCTGCTATTTGTGTTCAGAAAGCCAGCTTGTGGTTTTTTTTCTCAAAGTCGCCATCTATATCCCCTCAACTTCTATTCCCCATTTCCCCCCTTTCGTTTCCCTATTTCTACTTTTCAGAGGCTGTGCTGTACCATTCGGTAATTGAAGGTCCTTTTTAAAGGAGGAACGATCACATTTGTGGCGATTAGGTCTAATTGTGTTGTATTGCTTGGTAGTGATCTTTTGCATCTTCTGTGTTTTTTTTTTCCTTTTTAAGTTCTTTATGCATTGGCTTGTTCCGAGCTTCTGTGCGTGCGTGTGTCCGTCTGATTGCGTGCGTATGTGTGAGTATGTGTGGCATTCATCTACCATGTCATTATCCATCTATTATTTCATTAACAATGCATGTCTGTGGTTTTTAGAAATGAGAATCAGTTCTATCATTTCCCAAAGGTTCATTGAGTTACACTCGAACGGGTATGCTCACTTGAACTGGATTTGGTAGGTTGATCTCGTTTTTATACTTCACAGATTGTGTTGTTTCATGTGGCAGTTGATTATTCAAAGGCTAAGCTATTGACCTCCCCCCCATGCTAGGCAGGGGATGGCAGTAGCTTAGTTTTTGGGTTGTTAACTGTCACGCATTTTATCATGTGCATGTGCATCATTCATGACATATCACATGCATTGTATAGCATCATTCTATGCATTATGCATTGCATAGCATCATTTATGCATTACGCATGCATCTCTTTATCATTAAACAACATCATCTAACACTAACATATAATGCAAACAGTACAGCCAATCTACACTAAACAATTGCAAAAAAAATCATATGGTTTAATGCACTATGAACAGTACCGTATTCAAAACTGCTCAACATGCATACAGCATGGGAATGGTATTACTGTAGTTGACAAATTTTATTTTCATGATTTTATTAAAAAAAATATAAATATGAAAATAAAATTTGGCAAAATCGATCGTAAAGGGTTGCTTCGCAACCCAAAAAAAAAAAAAACCACCCTCCGTGTCAGGTGCATCTGGTTACATGACGATTTTGTCCAGCATTGCATGACCATCACATGACGAAACATTTTTGTGCGCTGATCGTGGTTCTGTGCGCCTGAACTCAATTCTGAGCAAGGCAGCCCCATCACCTCGAGCACCTATTTCAGGCGAGCAAATTCACCTTGCGATTCAGGTTTTCTTGAGTCTTGTTGCTTCATTCTGTAGTACTAGTGAATAGCCACGGCCCACCGCTACTATTAGCCACGGCCCACCGCTACTTCTCTGTTTTTCTATGTTCTAGCTCGTGCGCCAACGCTTGTCGTTCGCTTAGCCGCCCCGTATTTTTTATGTTCTCGATTGTCCGCCAGCTTTAGTGTCGCTTGCCGTTCGCTAAGCCGCCTCGTACTGCCAGCCGCTGTTGCGCAGCGCCCTCATTTGATCGCGCAAGATTCCTCCCCTCCTCGTCGACCCGCCCGCGTCTCCGTCATCGAAATCGACTGGTCGTCCACAGACGCGTTTATTGGCGCTCGCCTCATCTCTTCTTGCTCCTCCACGCTCCTTCTCCTCACACACGCTCCTTTCTCCTCGCCGCGCCCTTTCGTCTTGGCGTGGCACGACGTCTTTTCGCACCCAGTCCTCCTCTTTCCCGCCCTATTCATCGACCGGATTAGGACTCTTTAAACTCTCGTCCAGTTAAAATAGTGTTGGATTGTCTCACATCCGCGAGATTTACTAATCGTTTGCCAGGTGATTTACTTCCATTGTGTACGTCCGCACGATCAGTTTCGGCGCGCTCAGCGAGGGGACGTGTGGACTGGCGAGTTCCTCGTTAGACGCAGATACGGCTCGCCTTTCCCCGCCATGGTGCGAGTTACCCTTCACCACCCTCGTGCGCGCTATTCTTCCTAGCCTTGCTGCGCGTTACCTCTCATACCACATTCCCTCCATACCCATTTCTCTCCGCACCTACCCGTCTTCCCGGCCCCCCCCCCACCCGCCGCCACACAATCGCCTCTCCGCTGCATCTCACCGTCTGCTCCCCGCGCGCGCCACCTCGCAGGTGACGGACACGCCCATTCTGAACCCGTCGGGGCAGCTGGTGGGGGTGATCGGCGTGTCGGCGGACATCCGCGACATCAAGCGCAAGGAGGGCGAGATCCGCGCGCTCAACGCAGCGCTGGAGGTGTGGAGCGCACGGAGCAGCTGCAGCGCAACAACGAGGCGCTGCGGCGAAAAATGGAGGCGCTCCTGTCTGCGGGGAGCACCTGCAGCGATGCGGCATCAAGGTGAGGGGCGGTCATGTCACGAGTTACTACATCCACCTTCTTTACTGGAAGAATCACAGAAGACACGAAACGAAGAGCTGCGGTACGGTACCACACACTTGTACCGATCTCTCTGACCTGTGCTTTTGCGTGTGCGCGCATGGCGGCAGGACTTGGAGCAATCGAGCAGCCGCATATCACAGCAGTCGCTGGTGTTGGAGCGGATGGTGGCGGAGCTGCGCGAGGCGCGCTCTGAGGCGGAGTCCGCCAACCGCCTAAAGTCGCAGTTCCTGGCGTCCATAAGCCACGAGAATCGTACCCCCATGAACGGCGTGTTCGGTGAGATAGGCACTTCACGATTGAGTTCACCCCAGCTTGGACTGCTGCACGCACGCATGCTCACAGGCTTGCGCTTACGCGCTCCTCATAGACTCTTGCCTTGCCGTATTCTCAGTTCCTACCCTCATCTGCCCTACACTGCCCAGGCATGACGCGGCTGCTGCTGTCTACGCCGCTGTCGGAGGAGCAGAACGGCATCATGGAGATGATCCGCAGCAGCCGACACGCGCTGCTGGCCATCTGGATCCGAGCAAGATCGAGGCGGGCGAGCTGGAGATGGGCACCGCGAATTCGGCGTCATTGCGTGCATCGAGGACAGCGTCATCCTGCTCGCGGTCAGTGCTCGCTTGCTCAGGATTTCTCAACGCCCCTATGGTGGCCTTATCAACTCTTGACTCGCAATCCCCGTTAGCTCCCCCAGATCCCTCGTCGTTCTGCCACCCTCCCATTCCCATCTTGTTATCGCTCTCCATTCTCTCTCCCCCCCTCTCCCCCTCTCCCCCTCCACCCCGCATCCCCTCACCCTCCCAGCTGCCCCCCTTACCTGGAGTGTAGGTGGCGGCTCTGCCCCGCCCAGTGCGCCAGATTACCCTCAACCGCCTCCTCGCCTCCTCCTGCCAACCTTGCCTCCTCCGGATACTGCTCACGTATGTGCCATGGGTTGGGATGGCATGCGTGGCGTGGGGTGGCATGGGATGTCATGTGGTGGCATGTGGTGGCATGGGATGTCATGTGGTGGCATGTGGTGGCATGTGGTGGCATGTGGTGGCATGATGGGGTCACGGAACATGATGTGATGGTATGGCGTGACGTGGTGTGGTCGGGCACAGGTGAGGTGTGGTGGCATGGTGCATGTAGGTGGCATGCCTTAGCAACCCAAATTCCATGCCTGCAGCTGGCAGTGCAATTCAGTGTTTTCACTCTTGTATCTAAGCCTCGTTGACAGGTTCTATTCAATCAATCAACTGTGATGAGGGGAATGAGGCATCAACGGGGGCAATGAGACAATGGGGAGCATCGGGGGAGGCAGCGACGGGGGGAATGGGGGAGCATCAGGGGAGGCAGCGACGGGGGGAATGGGGGAGCATCAGGGGAGGCAGCGACGGGGGGAATGGGGGAGCATCGGGGGAGGCAGCGACGGGGGGAATGGGGGAGCATCGGGGGAGGCAGCGACGGGGGGAATGGGGGAGCATCGGGGGAGGCAGCATCGGGGGGAATGGGGCAGTAACTGGGGAGGCAGCATCGGGGGGAATGGAGTAACTGGGGAGGCAGCATCGGGGGGAATGGGGCAGTAACTGGGGAGGCAGCATCGGGGGGAATGGGGCAGTAACTGGGGAGGCAGCATCGGGGGGAATGGGGCAGTAACTGGGGAGGCAGCATCGGGGGGAATGGGGCAGTAACTGGGGAGGCAGCATCGGGGGGATCTGGCAGCTAAAGTGGAGGCATCAACGGGGGGAGAGTAGGGGAGGTATCGACGGGGGGATGAGGGAGCAGTGGGGCCGGCAGCGATGGGGGAAATGAGACGGGGGGGTAGCAGCGAGGGAGATGAGGGAGCAGAGTAGGAGGTAGTGCTGGGGGATGTGGAAGCAGAGGGGAAGGCAGGCAGCGATGGGCAATTTCAACCGCTGTGATGCTCCACCACTGCTTGAGGCTCCCCACCTCCCCCTGCACTTTATGGGGAAGAGCATGTTCCAAGTTTTTGGAAGCCGATAGGTTGCCCATGTAGGCAAGGCACAAGGATGAGGAGTTTTCGTTGGCTTTATCCTGTACGGCTGGGATGCACCTCTGACAGGGGGAGGGCGACGCGACTAGGCAGGGAGCCCGCGGGCGATGGATAGAATGTACCGCGAGTGAAAAAAAAAGAAGAAATTGAAGGGCCGAGATAGTAGGGAAAATATAATTCGACTAGGTAAAAAGGTGGCGCACCGGATGCCTAAGGCCTAAACCGTACTAAGAGATATAGATTGGGACAAAACGCCAAGGATTTGGCTCTAGGTACCATGTTAAAGCTAGGAATATGGAAGCCATGGCTAGGGGGAGAGAAGGTAGCGAGAGAATTGTTACTAGGAAAGAGTGTAGAGATACAAATGTAGGAAACCCTACTTGGACTTACGGTGTGTTCAGTTTGTGCTAGAAACTAAGCAATGAACCTAAACTGAACCGAACGTGTAACTCACCCTAAACATTGCGAAATAACATAAGAACACCATGATAAATGCCAGAGCGAACTCTAGCCTACTCCAACACACCACCAGGCTAGGTGAAGCTCTGGAACAAAACTCCTAGCGAACCGAAACACCCCCAGAAGTGGCGAGATGAGTGAGCCCAAGCGCGCGCACGTAGAAACGGTGAGGCGCACGAAGGAGAGCCTTGGTGAAAATGTTAGCAAGGTTGGCAGTAGCAGCCACCTTGCTAAGGCAGAGGAAGCCAGACTGCACCAGCTCGCGCACGAAGAAGTATCGGACCTCGATATGTTTACTGCGAGCGTGATAGACAGGATTTTCAGTAAGGTGAATCATGCTCGCACTCTCAAAGGAGAGCGTCACAGAGGGCTGAGAGTGACCAAGCTCAGCAAGGAGAAACGAGAGCCAGCGAGCCTCTTGAGCCGCCAATGTGCCTGCGTACAACTCAGCCTCGCATGTGGAAAGGCAGACAGAGGATGAACGAGTGGAGCGCCGGCTGATGAGGCCACTGCCAAGAGTAAAACCATAACCCTGAGAGGAGCGGCGATCAGGACGAGAATCAGCATAGGAGGAATCACTGTAACCGGAAAGAACGGGGGAGAAGAGCCACCAAGAGTGAGAGCAAGATCAGAGGTAGCGTGGAGATAGCGGAGAACGCGCTTGGCAGCCGCCCAGTGCACGTCAGTGTGGCGACCAAGGCCAACAAAACGAGAGAGGACACTGAGGGGGTAAGCAAGATCGGGGCGAGTGCACATCATAGCATACATGAGGGACCCAACAAGCTCAGGATAGGGTCGCAGTTCTGAGGAGGGAGCGGGAACGGCAGGGGCAGTAAGCTGATGGTTAGCGGGAAGAGGAGTGGAAACTGGCTTGGCCTGCGACATTTCAAATCGCTCAAGAATGGAGTGGATGTAAAAGGATTGAGAGAGAGAGATGGTGCGCGCAGCTCGATCACGACGGATTTCCATGTCGAGGTAATGACGAAGCTCGCCAAGATCCTTGCACAGGAGACGAGCTTGGAGGGCCTGCTTGACAGCGGCAAGGTCGGCAGAATTTTCAGCGAGGAGCACCAAGTCATCGACGTAGGCAAGAATGTAAAGCCTGTGGGGGGACGTGCGAATGAAGAGACTGGGGTCGGAAGATGAGGTAGAGAAGCCAAGAGAGTGAAGAGTGGAGGCGAGCTTAGCATGCCACTCGCGTGGGGCCTGCTTAAGACCATACACCGGGCGCTTCAGCTCCCAGACAGTGCCTGGAGGGAACGGGCGAGGAAAGCCAGCGGGGCGCTCAAGGAAAATGCGTTCATGAAGCTCGCCCTGGAGAAAGGCATTGGAGACATCCATAGAGTGAATCTCCCAATCCCAGCGGGCGCCTAAATCAAGAAGGAGACGAAGGGTGGGGAGACGGGCAGTGGGGGAGTAAGTGGCGAAGTAGTCAATGCCTTCACGTTGGGTGAAGCCCTTGGCGCAATAACGGGCTTTGAAGATAGGGAGCTCCCCAGGCAGCTGTTTGACACGAAAGACCCATTTGCCCTTGACAATGGTGGCGCCAGGGGGGGGGACAGAGTCAACGTAAGAATGAGTTCTGGTGAACGCCTCACACTCGGCAATGATGGCAGCCATCCACTCAGTTGCATGGAATCCAGACACTGCCTCGGAATAGGTCTGAGGGGTGGGAATAGCGGCAGTGTCAACGGAGAGGAGAGTGGGAGAATTGGAGAAGTCGCCAATGGTGACACAGAGGAGGGGTGAAACGGGATGCACAGAACAGCTCTTCGAACCGATCCTCGAGAAGATCGACGTTTTGGGAGGGAGAGAGAGGAGTAAAGAGAGCAGAGTGTTAAAAATTGGACATTGCACGGGTCATAGAGCGGGTGAGACGCGGAGAAGGTGGGGGAGCTGGAGCAGAAGGGAGGGTGGCAGAAGGAGGTGATGAGGGAGAGGGCATGGGAGTAGAAGAGGAAGAGGGAGGAGGAGAGGTGCCGGAGATGACAGCAGAAGGGGGGATAGAGGGGGCGGGGAGGGGAGGCGGAGCAGGGGGAGGATGAAGTGGAGAAGGAGAGGGAGCAGCAGAGGGCAGCGGATCAAAATCAGGCCAATGAAGAGAGGGAAGAGGAGGGGTGGGAGGGGGGGTGAGGAATGGAGAACGAGTCTCATCAAATATAACATACTGGCTGCGAATGAGCTGCTGAGAAGAGGGAGCATAGAAAAGATAACCAGGACAGTCAGCGTTGATGCCAATGAACGCACAGAGCTGCGTCTTGGGAGCGAGCTTCCCACCCTGACGTGCTCGATCGGCGGGATTGATGAGGACATGAGCGACACAGCCCCACACCCGAAGAGGGCGGGCGGAGGGCTGGCGGCCAGTCCAGAGCTGGAAGGGTGTAATGGAGGGGCGAAGGGGATGAGGGCGAAGGTTGGAAAGAAGAGTGGCATGAACAAGAGCGTAGCTCCAAATAGAATGTGGAGCAGAGGAATGAGTAAGGAGACAGCGGGTGATCTCCATAAGAGTGCGAATACCCCGCTCGGCAACACCATTCTGTTCGGGAGAATGCGGAAGAGTGGAGGTTTGGCGAATGCCATGAGAGGAGCAGTAAGAAGAGAGAGAGTGGTTAAAGAACTCGCCACCACCATCAGAGTGGAGGCGTGCGACAGGACGGCCAAAGCGAAGGCGCGCATGCTCAGCCCAGCGAATGATGAGGGAGGGGGCATCAGATTTGGCACGGAGGGGATAGACAGTGGCAAAGCGAGAGTGGTCATCAACAAGAAGGAGACAGTAACGATGACCTTGACGTGAGGCAATGGGAGAGGGACCCCAGAGGTCCATATGCACAAGATCAAGGGGTTTGGGGGCGGCAGAAGGGGAAGAAGGATGAGGAGATTGGGAGAGCTTGGCTTGAACACAAGGGGTGCATGGAGGAGCGGGAGAGGGGGGAAGGGGCGGGAGAGAGGAAGGGAGATCATGAAGCAGCTTCGAATTGACCATGCTGCGAAGGAGAGGGAAATTGGGGTGGCCAAGGTGATGATGGAGAAGAAGGGTAGGTTGGGTGAGGGAGCGACAGTCGCAAGACGAGACAGGAGGGGCAAAAGAAGAGGAAGTGTGATGCACAGAGGAGGGGACGGGAACACGAAGGGTGTAGAGGCGAGTAATAGGAGAAAGGGTGAAACGAGCGAGGTGCCGGTCGAGGTAATGAAGATCACGATAGAGTGCACTTGCGGGGAAGAGCGCTCGCACACCCAGGCGTTGGAGGGCAGGGAGAGATAAGAGGTTGTGACGGCAAGAGGGAACATAAAGACCAGTAATAGCGCCAGAGGAAGAGGCAGGACAAGGAAGAGAGGAAGTGCCAGTGCAGAACATGGTCATGGTCTCCCCTGCCCCATCAATAGAAAGGGGACGAGGAAAAGTACGAAGGACATCGGCATCACGGAAGACAGAGTCAGTAGCAGCACTGTCAAGGACAAAATCCAAGGTGCGAGGAAGTGAGAGAGCGGCAACCGTAGGGCTGGGAAAGTGAGAAGGAGTGCTGTGAAGAGGTGGAGAAAATGGAACGACAAAGCGAGGGTCCATAAGAGGAGAAGCACCAAGGATGCTATCCTGAGATGGCATGGTCACACTGAAGACAGAGGCCAGAGAACCAATACCAGAGGTTACAGTGGCAGAAGAGCGGCGACGCTGATGGGACAGCGGCATCCAAGCAGAGGGGTGGAGAAGAGGGGAGGTCCAGCGGCAAGCAGGAGAGGTGCAAGGGGAGGAAGGGGCAGCGAAGGGAGCGGAGAGTAGGGAAGGCAAGGGTAGGAGAGGAGGTACAGCGGGAGAAGGGCGAGGGCGGAAGCGCAGAGGAAGAGAGGGAAGAGTGATAAGGGGCCCCATCTGAGGAGGGGATAGTAATGGAGAAGATGTGGGGAGATAAAAGAGGAGGAGGAATTGCGGAGATAACTACTGCAACGGGAGCTAGACTACGGGCTAGGCACGGGTGCTCATGTGATCTCTGCGTTAGTTGGTCCTTAGTCGTTTTCCTAGTGCACACACTGCTTGCTAGTTCACGGGGTAAGTTGGCAAGAGTTTCACTAAGAATGGTTGACAACAATGGTACAATGAAGTTGGCATGGCAAGACTACATCAGAGCTAGCATTCAGGTCGGTCGACTGCCAGCACAGCATGGTCGACCGCGTTCCAGCACGACTTGGTCGACCGCGCTCCAGCAGTGCAAAGTCGACGGCGTGCCAACGTCGCAGGTTGACGGCGTGCCAGCGTTGCTCCCGCAGTACAGCATCGCACCAGCTTCGCAGGTGCTCGCAGATGATTGGCGTGCTGAGCCTCGTCACCTGCACAGCGCACACACCAAGTCAACCTGGCGCTGACGTCTGCATCTGATCAGCCACGTCGACCTCGGGATACCACCACCGAGGTCGGACTTGCCAACTTCGCCTGGGCGACCGTCGCACTCCTCCGCAGGACTTCGTCACCGAGGTAACCTGGTCGACCGGGCAACCACGTCGACCAGCTGCTCCTGTATGTGCCCGTCGACCTCCCAAGTCGACGACCACTCCACGTCGACCTCACTAGGTCGACCACACCCCTGGTCGACCAGCTCCACGTCGACCAGCACTCCTGGTCGACCAGCTCTATGTCGACCAGCGCAGCTGTCAGCCGACCAATCAAGTCGGCTACCCGAGGTCGGCGTCACCAAGTTGACGCCCACCTACTCGACGCCCTGCTGCTCGGCGTTCTGAGTCGTGGTCGACGTCGGACCCTCCTCCGTCGACCACCAGGTCAGGTCGACCACCAGGTCGACATCACGCCTGGTCGACCACCACCAAGTCGACCAGCAGGCCTGGTTGACCAACCACCAGGTCGACCAGCAGTCCTGTCAGCCGACCACCCAAGTCGGCTGCCCCAAGTTGGCGTCACCAAGTCGACGCCCTCTGCAGGTCGACTTCCCAGGTCGACCTCCCCGTGCAGTAGCCCCCATGCAGGTCGACCTCCTCGTCAACCAGCTCGCCCACTGCTGCAGGTCGGCTGCTCCCCTCACACCCGACCACGAAGTCGGCTCCGCCCAAGCGAGGACGGGGCCAACACACAACTCCCGTTGACAGGAATAGGGGCGAGGTAGTCAGCTGCTGAGCCGTTGAGAGGAGAAATAAGAGGAGGAGGGATAACGGTGGGGTAGTCTGCTACTGCGCCGCTGAGGGGAGAAACAAGAGGAGGAGGGATAGCGGTGGAGTAGTCTGCTGCTGTGCCGCTGAGGGGAGAAACAAGAGGAGGAGGGATAGCGGCGGAGGAGTCTGCTGCTGCGCCGCTGAGGGGAGAAACAAGAGGAGGAGGGATAGCGGCGGAGTAGTCTGCTGCTGCGCAGCTGAGGGGAGAAACAAGAGGAGGAGGAAAGGTGTGGAAGAAGATTGGCGCCGAAACACGGACAGCTACCAGCTGCAGCAGAGAGGGAGATAAGAGAGGCGGGGGAAAAGGTTAGAGGGTGGGGGGGGAATAGAGGGAGAGAGAAGAGGAGGAGAAGGAGGGTGAAGGAGCGGAGTGTGGGGAGGAAGTAGGGTCACGATCACCAAGTGGCAACCAGTACCAAGCAGCCAGTTGGCAGATGCAGAGGGGAAGGAGGTGGAGGAAGGGAGGAGAGGCACAGAGGGGAGGAATGTATGAAGAGAGGAGGAGGAGGGTGAAGAGGCGGAAGGGGTGAGGGGAGAAGGAGGAGGTGGTGCAAAAGCGCCAGAAGAAGGTGCACCACGAGGGAAGGGGAAGGCACCTGCAGGGAGGTGAGGCAGGACGCCAACGAGATGGTAAGGGAGGGCGGCCGCGAGGAGGGAAGGGTGGTCTGGGAGAGGGAGGGCGGTGGGCAAGACGCGCGGGCGCGTCGACGGCGAGAAGGCCGCGCGCGTCGACGGCGGGAAGGCCGCGCGCGTCGACGGCGGGAAGGCCGCGCACGTCGACGACGGACAGGGCGCGCGACGAGGCGGGGCAGGTGGAGGGCGACGCGACTAGGCAGGGAGCCCGCGGGCGATGGATAGAATGTACCGCGAGTGAAAAAAGAAAGATTTGGCTCTAGATACCATGTTAAAGCTAGGAATATGGAAGCCATGGCTAGGGAGAGAGAAGGTAGCGAGAGAATTGTTACTAGGAAAGAGTGTTGAGATACAAATGTAGGAAACCCTAATTGGACTTAGGGTGTGTTCAGTTTGTGCTAGAAACTAAGAAATGAACCTAAACTGAACCGAACGTGTAACTCACCCTAAACATTGCGAAATAACAAAAGAACACCACGATAAATGCCAGAGCGAACTCTAGCCTACTCCAACAGCAAGTTCATGACTAGGTGAAGAGGGTTCCTTTGCAGTGCATGCATCAATGTTCAGGTTGGCGAGAAGAGTAGAGTTTCAAAGCAATGAAATCTAGAAACACATTGTGGTAGTGGTTGCAGTAATGTAATATTCATTCCACTGGCTGACTAACTTTGGTTCAATCCCACGGAGCTTGTACCGCGTATGCACGATGTTTACTCACCACGACAAAGAACATGTTGCGCGATGTTTCTCAGTCCAGGTCACGCACCTGCTCACCTCCCCACACTTCCCACGCCAACCATGCTGGCAGCACCGCGACTCTCGCAATCCACGCTCGTCGCCTCGCTGCTCGTGCGCGTCGCGCCCATGGCCACGCGCGCAATCAGCCATGGTTTACAATTCGCTACTTCCATCCGCCAAGCCCGCCCGCCACCGACCCCGTCCGCTCTGTGTTCACCAGGCTTTCCGCTGCGCCGCTCCGTTCCTGCGCGGAGTTTTTCCGTGCGTCCGCAGTCGTCGACCGCGGAGCCTGCGGGTCGAGGCTTCCTCGCCCACCTCTCCCTTGCTCTGCTGCTCCTTGCTGCTGCTTGAACTTGTCATGCCCACTACCCACCACCACGTGCAGGACACAGCGTGTTACTCGGGTCCCACGTTGATCCCGGTCCTCCCACTCTCCTGCGACCCGCTCACCATCCCCGCCACCTGTCCGCCCGGCGCGGTCAACATGACGGCGGCAAAGAACGTGTCGGGGCGCCCCCTCGACCCGGCCATCTGCGCAGGCTTTCCCTACTCCAACGCCACCCGGCCCTTCCCTGACGCTAATGGCGACGTCAACGCTCCTTACCCCTACACTCCTACTCCTACGCCCCCCGCTCCTGCTCCTACGCCCCCCGCTCCTGCTCCTGGTCCCTCCGCTCCTGCCCCTGCCCTTTCTCCGCGTACCCCCTCCCCGCCAGCGCCCATTACCGGTGCTCCTCCCCCAAGCGTCGTGTCTCCGTCCCCCCCATCTGTGTCTCCTCCTCCCACTGGTCCTATCCCCTCTCCTCCTCCGGCTGTCCCCAGCCCCTTGCTAGAAAGGCATAGTGCCGACGTAGCGGAAGCTTGATTGTAGAATAAGTAGCAAGAGAAATTTGCAATTGAAAGGATTCAGAACAATGGATTAATTATGAAACCACACAGCAGGGTATTTATGCCATCAGCTACCCTGCCCACATCCATCCATCCACACCAATAATGACTCCAATAAAGGAGTAGCAATCATTCTACCCCCAGACCTCTAGACTCCAATAATTCTGGCCCTACAATAATTGTACAATTATTGTAGGCCCTGGAGTCTTATAAGGAGGACTACAATAAAATCTAACAGCATAAATGTTTCTTTATGCTTTATATTTCTCAACACTCCCCCTTGCTGTAGATTTTACTATAAACTTACTGGGGTTCATTTTTGTGGAGGACAGGAGGATAAGGTGGTAACGTTGGTGACACAGGTAATTGCGGATGTTTCCGGCGGGGATTGCGGAGCTGTTGAAGATGATAGCGTTGATTGCGGAGCAGACCACGTTAGGGTTTCAGAGTTCCGTTGACGCGTCGGAAAGTTGGGTCGGTTGTCGTGTAGCAGGTTTCGTGCACGTTCCTCGTTAGGTGTGCACTTGGTCCCGACTTTCGAATCTCAGGTGTTCCTCTTCTCGTCGTTTCCACATTTGTGCTGCGCCCTGGTTCTCCTCTCTCCGTCCCACAACTCTTGCGACCTCGTTGAGCACGGGTCCTCCAATCTTGTCATTCTCTCGCTTTCAGATGTCCCTTTCGAAGCTGTTTCTCTAGCGATGAGTGCTGCTGGCGAAATTATGGCGAAATTATGGCTTAGCTGCTAGCGCGCGACCTAGTAGCAGCCCGAAATGCTCCCCGATCCGCGATATCTGCTTCCATTGTGCGTCAGCTGCTGTATGTCGCGATATCCTGCAGCAGCAGGTGCACGTCACCAGCGCTCGCGATGTCATGGCTGGTGCTCGGCGACAGTAGCGTACGTGACGATCTGCAGCTCCTGACGCGCGTTTCCGGCAGCTGCGGCCTTATGTGCGACTGCTGCCATATGTTGCGACTGCAGCGGCTGGCTCGACTGCAGCAGCTGCCGCGACCGCGTGCAGCATGGCGCACAGCTGCTTCTCTTGTCGCGCGGCGGCTTCTCCTTGTCGCGCTGCTGTTGGTGCGCGACCTCCTCCTGCCACTGCGGGCGAATTGGCGCTTCTGCAGCGTTTGCAGCGCCTTGCGCATGACTGCTCCGCCCTCATTCGGCGATTTGCCTTACGTCAACAGTCACTGACGACCTGGCGCGAGTCTGCTGCTGCATTGGCGGCGGCCACCTGCTCTTGCTACTCGACGTCTGCAGCACCTGCTGCTCCTGGCGAATGTGTGTTGCATCTGTACGGCGACACTTGGCGCTTGGCGAGTGGCGCGGGCGACGGGGACCAGCAGCGACTGACACTCAGCAGCTGGACTGGCGACCGGCGCTCAGCAGCATCATCACCACCCGGCGGGCTGCAGCAGCACACTTCCTTGTGAGTTAAACCCTTCATTCTCCTGGTACGCAGGAGTAGATGTCGTCCCTTCCAATCGTCTTGATTGAGCTCACATCACTTGACTAACCTTCGCTTTGTGTCACTCGTCCCTTTAGGAGCTGGTGACAGGCAGCAGCTGCGGCTGGTGATGCACTGGAACAGCACCAGCAGCGCTTGGCGGGCGGCAGCAGCACCAGCAGCGCCTGGCAGGTGGCAGCAGCACCATCGCCCGGCAGCACGGCGGCAGCTCCTTGTGGCGCACGGCAGCAGCAGTGACAGCCTAGGTGAGGCTTCTCCTTCCGATTTTGACTTGTTTGTGCAAGCGTTGCACTCTCCCTTGTGGAATGATGCATGAGGTTTGTCTTAATGTTACCCTTTTCTGCTCCCCCCTACCCCAGGTGGCGCGCTAGAGCATCAGCACCTGACGGACAGCAGCACATGGCGGGCTGCAGCACCTGGCGGGCTGCAGCACCTGGCGAGCTGCAGCATCTCCCCCTGACGCCCTGCAGCAGAGGTGGACGGCTGCACCAGCATGGCAGCAGCAGCGGCAGCTCCTGGTCCCCAGCAGCTGGTTTCTCTGAAGAGCAACTGTTGGCGCTTGACAGCTGCAGCGGATGGCTTAGGGCAGCTGCACCAGCGGCTCCTGGAAGGCAGCAGCAGCTCTAGCGCTTGGCGCCCTGCAGCACCATGGTGAGGAAAACATCCAGCTTTCTTCTCTTGCCTTGTGCTGTCCAACTTCCACATTTGAGTGTTGCACCATTGAAGTTGCTACACACTTGGACTCACACCACTGTTGTCTTTCTTCACTCCCCCTGAACCAGCAGGTGCTTTGTATCAACCAGCGACCGTGGCGACTCAAGGCAGCAGCTGCGACCATCTAGTAGAAAAAGCTCTCGGCTGCGGCTGCTTCCGATGCCTTGTGTATCGCAGTAGGTCTCATCATGATACTTGTCTTCATGTGTGACCTGAAGAATGAAAATGAAAAATGAACTCCCAACTCCTCTTTTGTTGTAGCCCAAGGTACTCCACACCCCACTCCCCCTCTCACTCGTGAGTTTGTCATCATGCACGCGTGTGAGCACGCACACAGCAGCAAACACATAAGTGAGACAGGTGGAGTTACGTGATGCCTTGCTGTCCAGCGCCCCTTAAGAAGCCCGTACATGTGAGTGCAGCTCCAGTGCCTTCAAATTGCTGACTGGTTGCAGACGGTGCTCCAGGTGGAATCGGTGCTGCAGGTGAGATGTTGCTTTGCTGTGATAGGCTTGGTGAGATAATCTGCAGCTTGCTGAGCTGTCGGGCAGTACGCCGGCCGCACAACACCATCACGAACAGCCTTCCGCGTCCAATGGTAACGCACTTCCATATGCTTAATGCGCTGACTCATTTGCTCCCCGGTTGCAAGTGCAATCGCACTTTGATTGTCCACAAAGATGACAGGTGGTTCTTGTTGTGGGAAACCGAGGTCTTCACACAAGCGCCGAAGGTAGGTAGCTTCCCTTGCCCCTTCGAACAGTGCAATGTATTTTGTTTCAGCCGTTGATGTTGCAATGACCGTTTGTCGCTTAGTCCTCCAACTGACAGCAGCTCCTCCCAAGGTAAACACGTATCCTCCAACTGAGTGACACCCCACTTCGTTCGCATAGTCCGAGTCCGTGTATCCTCGGAGCACCAAGTCCCCGCGTCCATAGACCAGCCCCACATTCGCGGTGTTCTGTAAGTAGTTGAAGACACGCTGAATCCCAAGCACGGTTGCAGCTGTTGGCTTGCCAGCTTGTCGAGCCAACACGTGCGTTGCATATGTAATGTCCGGCCTCTCTGCTGTTGAGATGTACAGCAAGGTCCCCACTTGTTTCAGCACCAATTGACTGTCAATCTCGTCTGGTGGTTCTCCTTGTGGTCCAGGTTCCTTGGTGATTGGCGTCCGGACTCCGGAACGGCTGTCTTCCATCCCGAAGTTCGCCAAAGCCTGTGAGATGTACTTTGTGAGTCCGAGTGAGATCTGGTCAGCGTTAGCAGTGACGTTAAGGCCCAAGAACTGCGTCATGGTCTTGCTGATGGTCAAGGTAAAGTTCTGCTTCAAGTGTTGAATCACGGCCGCAATGCCTTCGTCGTCATGTGATTGGATGAGGATGTCGTCAACGTAGGTAAGTAGCCACACCGTGTCCTTTCCTTCCCGTTTCCAGATAAATAGCGTTGTGTCAGAGTCGGACTGCACCATGTCCAGCTCCAACAAAACACCCCGCAAGTGCTGATGCCATAAACGTGGTGCTTGTTTCAGTCCATACACACTCTGCTTAAGTTTCCAGACTTTGTCTCCGTCGCGCCTTGGTTCGGGTGGTCTCACATACACGTCCCGGTCGATTGGAGCGTACAGGAACGCATTGGAGATGTCCAGTTGCACCACCTTCCGCTTTGTAGCAGATGCTCCAGCAACGTACATGCGTGAGGTAGCTCCTTGACTGACCGGTGCATACGTCTCATCGTATGTTCCCCATGTCTGTCCGCATCCCTTGACCACCCAGCGCACATTGAACCGGTTTGGTTGTCCGTGCTCATCTCGTTTTACCCTTATAACGACTCCTTCCGTCAGCACCGGCGGTCCTTTGGGTACGTCCGCTCTGTCCACCACTTCGTATGCGTCCAGTTCGTCGAACTTGGCCAATTATGCATCCACAGCGGCTTGCCAAAGATGTGCACTGGTTTGTTGTCATCTCCTTGAGCGTTTTGGGCTCCTTGTACGTCAAGTCCACCATGGGGACGCCGGTTGCTGCACATCCTGGCACGTGTTGCTGCAAGTTGGGAAGGTTGTTGAACGCATGTGCTGCCTGCCGTTTCCCAAACAGCATGTCCAGTCCTGTCATGATGTCCGTACCTTGTCTTTCTCCTCCGAGCACAGTCACATTTGGGTTCAAGTGAACCCGCCGTGGAGTTGCGTCATGAGCTGCCAGCTTGATCCCATCAGGTGGGTAGGCAAAGTCATAGAGATGACTTGCCTCATTCTCCATTCCGTTGCTTTCAGCACCTTCAGAAACAGAGACGCCAGCTGGAGGTAAGTCACTTGCTGCAGCCCCTTCTCCTTTATCGGTTGTGTCGTCAATGGGTGCATCCTCTTGATTTGCGTCAGCCTCCTGTCCTCGTGTGGTTGTGGTGTCTGTGGGCAATGTAGGCGATGGTAGGGATGCGGGAAATGAGTCAAACTCGGACCCAAAGCCTTCTCCCCCTGAAGTCCAATCGTCAATGTGTGGTGAGACTTCTTCCATGTAGCGGTGTCGTTCGAGTACCGATTCAGCGTCCGTAATCATGAGGTCATCAAAGAAGCGAGCTGAGCGTGTGTCCGTGTCAACATTGCTTGCCAAGTCCCGCACGATCCATGCTTTCCGAGCGCTGGAGAGTCCAAGGAACATCCCAACCCTTCCTCTTTGCTCGAAATTCCCAAAGCTGCCTTGGGGAGGGAGATAGTAGCAGAGGTACCCAAATGTTCTTGCCATTGAGACATCTGCCGCCTTTCCCGTCATCATGAAGTACGGTGAGTGTGCTGATGGGTTGCTGCTGCAGCTGATGCGGTTGTGTAACCATGCTGCATACTCCAACGCATAAGGCCAGAACTTAGAGGAAAGGCTGGCTCCGGTGGTCATTGCACGCACTCGGTCCATGAGTGTGCGGTTGACCCTTTCGGCGATCCCATTCTGTTGCGGCGTGTGTGGTAAGGACGTTTGGTGATTGATGCCGTGAGAACTCAGGTAATCCGTGAAAGCATTTGCTGTATACTCCGTTCCGTTGTCCGTGCGCAAGGCAGCCAGCGGCTTCTTGGCAGCTTGGTCTTCATCTCGCGGTGCCAAGCCGAGAAAACTGCAGCCATGTCGGACCGGCGTGCCAACGGCGCCACCCACAGGTAGTTGGTGTAGTCGTCCTTGAGCGTCAGCACATAGCGAAGTGAAGGGTGAGCATCACCCAGATCCATGATGTCGCTATGCACGAGCTCCAAAGGTCGAGTTGTGCCTTTGGTACTTCCTGTAGGAAAGGGTGCCTTGCTCATCTTCCCTCGAAGACATGAGTCACATGGGGGTTTGAGAGGGTTAGTCTTGTCGGATATGGTGAGTCCTTCAACATCACCATTTCGAAATGTTGCATCCATGGATGTGTATGATGGGTGACCCAAGCGCTTGTGGGCCATGCGGTATGTGATGGATGCATGAGCAGAATGTGGATTCAGCCCTTTATGACCATGATCATGCGATGCGTCATCCTCATGATAATGGTCAGGTCCACGGGCCGATGCAAGTGCAGGCTCATATTGCACCAAGAGCACACCATGCATGATCATTCCAACCCCAATGACCACATGCTCATCTTCAGCCGCCATTGGAATCTCCGCGCGTCCGTCATCACGAGTGCGAATCCGAGCTCCCTTCTTGTGCAGCTGGCAATAGGGGAGCAGGTTGAACTTCAAGCCGGGTACGTAGAGCACGTCCGTGTAGCGCACTATTGCTCCATCGGGTGCCGTTGCTCGGATTGTTCCCGCCATGGAGCTCAACAGGTGGCTCCCGTCAGCAAGCTCCACGTAAACAGGTTCGTCCAGCTCCTCTAGACCCTCAAATCAATCCATTTCTGAAGTCACGTGTTGGCTGCATCCGCTGTCCAGCAACCACATCGACCCTCCGGCTGATGGTAACGTTGCTTGTGATGACCGAACCGTTGCAACGCATGTAACGGTGCGTTTGTTGTCTCCCCCGGCTGCCCCTTGTTGTTTTGACGCTTGGTTGTCACGTTTGGGGCTTTCACTCCTTCGAGGCGAGGACGAACGGCTACTCCAGGTGCTCTGGTTTGTCCTCCCTCTGTTTTGTGGTTCCCACCCTGGTGGTGACCAACCCCGGGGCGCCTTAGGTCATTTGTATAATGGGTGGCCAGATTCCTTGCAGTACCAACACACAAGGTTGGAGCGCCCTCCCCTTCCTTCGTTGCTCTTGAGTTTCTCCCCAACCGTTGCGTGCTGCCCTCCCGTTGACTTCACCGCATTCTGGTTGCCTTTTGTCTCGGTCCTCTCCTTTGCTGGTGAATTATCTCCACGTGCCTGGCCAGCCATGCGGGGAGGACGCTTGTCACGGTTGGTCTTGCTAATGAGGTCTTGGTAGCGTTGTCCCTGAATCATCATTCGCTGTAGTGTGTAGCTGTCCGAGATGTCGTGTAGCATTGCCGAATGCCTCAGCTCCTCCCAATGCGGCGGCAGCCCGGTAATCAGACTTAAGGTGAACGAATCTTCATCCACCATCTTTCCCGCCATTGCCAGTTTGTCCCGAATTGCAGTTGCTCGGTTGATGTATTCCTCCACTCTTTCTTGGCTCCCCATCTTCAGGTTGTCCAATTGCCTCTGGAGAGACGCCTTTGCCACCGAATCCTTCGCCTGGTAAGTCTCCATCAGGTACTCCCATGCTTCGAATGCCGGACTGTATGACTCTTGGAACACGTCAAGTTGCAGCTGAATCGTTGCGGTCACGCTATGCAGAAGCACCCAAAAAGCCAACGTAGCACGTTGTGAGTAATCTGCTTGTAGAACTTCCAGCCGTTCCGTTGCATCTCGAATTTCTCCATTCACCATTGTAACCGGGTATTGTAGCGTCACGACGAACTCCCACAGGTTTGTCACGCGCACGTTCATGCGAACC